CGGCAGACAAGGGCAGAGCGGGCAGGCAAGGGCAGGGACGGGGAGGCAAGGGCAGGGACGGGCGGGCAATAGCATAGACGGCGGGCAAGGGCAGGACGGGCGGGCAAGGGCAGAGACGGGCGGGCAAGGGCGGACAAGGGCAGAGACGGCAGGCAAGGGCAAGGACGGCGGGCAAGGGCGGACGGGGCAGAGACAGGCAGGCAAGGCAGGGACGGGCAGACAAGGGCAGAGACGGGCAGGCAATAGCAGAGAGGGCAGGCAAGTGCAGGGACGGGCGTGCAGGGCAGAGACGGGCAGGCAAGGCGGACGAGGGCAGAGACGGGCAGGCAAGGGCAGGGACGGGCAGGCAAGGCTGGGACGGGCAGGCAAGGGTAGGGACGGGCGGCAAGGGCAGAGACGGGCAGGCAAGGGCAGACAAGGGCAGAGACAGGCAGGCAAGGGCAGGGACGGGCAGACAAGGGCAGAGATGGGCAGGCAAGGGCAGGGACGGCAGGCCGAGGGCGGGCGGGCAAGGCAGAGACGGGCAGGCAAGGGCAGGCAAGGGCAGGGACGGGCGGGCAAGGGCGGACAAGGGCAGAGACAGGCAGCAAGGGCAGAGACGGGCAGACAAGGGCAGTGACGGGCAGACAAGGGCAGGGACGGGCAGGCAAGGGCAGGGACGGCCAGGCAAGGGCAGGGACGGGCCGGCAATAGCAGAGATGGGCAGGCAAGGGCAGGGACGGGCGGGCAAGGGCAGAGACGGGCAGGCAAGAGGGACGGCAGGCCAGGGCAGGGACGGGCGGCAAGGGCAGAGACGGGCAGCAAGGGCAGGCAAGGGCAGGGACGGGCGGGCAAGGGCGGACAAGGCAGAGACAGGCAGGCAAGGGCAGGGGCAGAACAAGGGCAGAGGACGGGGCAGGCAAGGGCAGGGACGGGCAAGGCAGGGCAGGGACGGGCCAGGCAAGTGCTGGACGGGCAGGCAAGGGCGGGGGGCGGCAATAGCAGAGAGGCGGCAGGGCAAGGGCAAGGCCGGGCGGGCAATAGCATAGACGGGCGGGCAAGGGCAGGGACGGCGGGCACAAGGGCAGAGACGGGCATGCAAGGGCGGACAGGGCAGAGACAGGGAGCAAGGGCAGGGCGGGCGCAGACAAGGCAGAGACGGGCAGGCAAGGGCAGGGACGGGGAAGGCAAGGGCAGGGACGGGCGGCATAGCATAGACGGGCGGGCAAGGGCAGGGCGGCGGGCAAGGCAGAGACGGGCAGGCAAGGGCGGACAAGGGCAGAGACGGGCAGGCAACGGCAGGGACGGGCAGGCAAGGGCTGGGACGGGCAGGCAAGGGCAGGGACGGGCGGGCAAGGGCAGAGACAGGCAGGCAAGGGCAGGGACGGGCGGGCAAGGGCAGAGACAGGCAGGCAAGGGCAGGGACGGGCAGACAAGGGCAGAGACGGGCAGGCAAGGGCAGGGATGGGCAGGCCAGGGCAGGGACGGGCGGGCAAGGGCAGAGACAGGCAGGCAAGGGCAGGCAAGGGCAGGGATGGCGGGCAAGGGCGGACAAGGGCAGAGACAGGCAGGCAAGGGCAGAGACGGGCAGACAAGGGCAGGGACGGGCAGACCAGGGCAGGGACGGGCAGGCAAGGGCAGGGACGGGGAGGTAAGGGCAGGGATGGGCGGGCAATAGCAGAGACGGGCAGGCAAGGGCAGGGACGGCTGGGCAAGGGCAGAGACGGGCAGGCAAGGGCAGGGACGGGCAGGCAAGGGCAGGGACGGGCGGGCAATAGCAGAGACGGGCAGGCAAGGGCAGGGACGGGCGGGCAATAGCATAGATGGGCGGGCAAGGGCAGGGACGGTGGGCAAGGGCAGAGACGGGCAGGCAAGGGCGGACAAGGGCAGAGACAGGGAGGCAAGGGTGGGGACGGGCAGACAAGGGCAGAGACAGGCAGGCAAGGGCAGGGACGGGGAGGCAAGGGCAGGGACGGGCGGGCAATAGCATAGACGGGCGGGCAAGGGCAGGGGCGGCGGGCAAGGGCAGAGACGGGCAGGCAAGGGCGGACAAGGGCAGAGACGGAAGGCAAGGGCAGGGACGGGCGGGCAATGGCAGGGACGGGCAGGCAAGGGCAGGGACGGGCGGGCAATAGCAGAGACGGGCAGGCAAGGGCAGGGATGGGCGGGCAATAGCATAGACGGGCGGGCAAGGGCAGGGACGGTGGGCAAGGGCAGAGACGGGGCAAGGGGCGGACAAGGGCAGAGACAGGGAGGCAAGGGTGGGACGGGCAGACAAGGGGCAGAGACGGGCAGGCAAGGCAGGGACGGGGAGGCAAGGGCAGGGACGGGCGGGCAATAGCATAGACGGGCGGGCAAGGGCAGGGGCGGTGGGCAAGGGCAGAGACAGGCAGGCAAGGGCGGACAACGGCAGAGACGGGAAGGCAAGGGCAGGGACGGGCGGGCAAGGGCAGGGACGGGGACAAGGGCAGAGACGGTTCACTGCGCCGTGCGCCGGCATGGAGGAGGATTAGGGGACGCACTTTCTTCCCCTTGGTATGAGCGCATTGTGCAGTGTTGTGTTGGATGCAGTCGAAATGGTGTCTCGTTAGTTTGTCTTATCCCGTCCCCCGTCCGCCCCCCTTCTGATTTATTGTGGGGTATTGTTTTGTTTTTGCAGGCAGAGTACCCTGTGCGCCACTGGAAGAGAGGCGCAGCTGGCTTGCAGAAGAATGAGGTGCCGAACGAGAAAAACGTGGCGAGGGAGAGGAGGATTGTGCGGAACTGGATGCGGCTGGCGATCATGAGGTGGGGGGGTGCGGCCGATGGGCCGAAGTGGCATGAGGATGTGCAGGCCTATACCTTCAGCGAAGGGAACAAGTACAAGATCTTTATCAAGTTCCCACCGCCGGCAGAGGTGCCGAACCTGCCGGAGGAGTACATTGGGGAGGAGGTAGAACCCCCTATGCCTGGCCAGCGCCGCGTCGCCGCCCCTGCTGCCTGCTGTGACGATGGTGAAGAGGGGGGAATATAGCCGTCACAAGTCATTTTATTTGTAGGGGGGAAGGTCGTGCTAGCCTCCAGTTGTAGGTTAGTTTTCAGGACGTGACCCGCAATCGGGGGGACCGATGACGTTGTGGCTGGTTCTTTTTTTGGAGGTGCATGGTATTTTGCATATTACATGTGATTGGAAGTCCTCTAGGACGTGTGTTGTACAAATAGGAATAATATAAAAATTAGTGTACCACTCTTTTGGCGCATGCCGCACCAGCCTAATGCGGATCAGGGCTGACGCACTCCTGACGGTGTGAGAGCATTATACTGAGAGTCCACGTGGCTGTAGAATTCGGATGGTGCTTTGAAGGGGTCCGTGCTAAACTGGCACGTAGGCATTTGCGTTGATGTGGCTAGACCGTGGTGAGAATGTGCGGGCAGGTTGTGGGAGGGTATGGCCAGGGTGTGCGTAACCCATCTGAGGCAAGGGTGTGGACCCGCTGTATGAACTAATATTGGTAATCTGTGGGTGGCTACACCCTGCCCACAATGTTGCGATGGTCTCTGGAGGCTGTGGGGAGAACGTGTTGGGACTTGGGATTTTTGGGATGTTGCGAGACTTTGAGTTTGGGAGTTGTTTTGAACATTGCCATGGATCGGGTGTTCTATTGTTGGGCGTGAGCAGGAAGACAAGATCTTATTGGACCACGTGGCAAAGCATGGCACACACAATTGGTTACATGTCAAATCCATGGGTCTGCTGCCCACACGAAATCACAAGGCGTGCTGCAACCGCTATATTCTGCTAAAGAGGTGATTTCTACTCGGTAGTAACTCCTTGCTACAGAGTGGTGTGTTAGTTTGCCGCTGAAGGTGTGTTTTAGAAGTGTCAGCTGACCTATTGTAGGGTTCAGTGAGTCGGCATCCATTGCCTTCACACTTCTCACATGTCCCCGTTGCCTTCCCTCTCAATGTAAGATGATGTTCCGGACGCCATAATTTTTCCCACAGATGGCCAACAGAACGGAATGCATCCTAGTTGCATCTAGATGCATCCAGGTTCCCGTGTCACCTTAATCGCACGTCTTAGACAGGTACCGTTTTCCATGCTGCCCATGGTGTCGCCTCACAGTGCCATGTCCCCATGTTACCTGTCGGACTTAATGCATGCAGGAAGCTGTCCAACGTACGTCAGCTCACACGAGACATGGACGAGGCTGCAAAGGCGATGATACCTGCTGTGCCAAAAATGCCTGCTGTGCCAACAATGCTGCTGTGCCAACAATACCTGCTGGCCAACAATACCTGCTGGGCCAACAATACCTGCTGGGCCAACAATACCTGCTGGGCCAACAATACTGCCGGCCAACAATGCATGTGCCCACCTTGCCTACCGTGCCAACGGAGACTGCTGATGATGGCTTGACACGAGACACGGTGGTGGCTGCGAATGCTGGGATGGGACAGCGACGAAAATGCAGCAAGCTCTAGAAGAACGAGATGGGTGTTTTCTCAGCACCTCATGCTGCCATCAGCAGGACTCAAACTGTCATCAGCACCATACATCGTGTCCTCAGCTACAGCACATATCAAGTCAGCAGCTCACGTCAAACCATCAACAATGTGACAGGGATTTAAACGTGGGTGAGAGAAGCTTCATGATGTCGGCGGTGCAGAACTCAACCATGGCCCCAGACAGAGAGGGCTTGTGCAAGGGAGCTTCTAGTGATTCATGTGCATCTGCTACACTTGATCTTCAGATTCGAACAGAAGTGACAGCAATGAGCCAAGCCAATGTGGAGGATGAAGCAGCAGACGCAGCCAGTGATGAGATGATGGTTGAAATCTCAAGCGCAGCAGCCATGTCCTCACACTCGCACTGCGGCTCATCAGCCTCGCAACTGTTCACAGCACCTCTTCTTTCCCCACTCTATCCTACTTTTCCTCTTAGTCTCCCTCGTGTTCGCCCCCTACTCCCTTCTTCTCCTACTTCCCTCCTACCTCCTACTACCCCCATTCCTACTCTCCACCTCCGCTCCCTCTGCCGCGTGGAGAGATGGATCACGGAACCTCATTTCTTGTCGAAGCACCTACCCAGGAATTGAAGGGCGTTGAAACCTCATGCTTGGTCGATTCCCCAATGCAGATGTCTGAAGCCTTTCTGTTGGGTGACCTGCGTCAGCAGATGCATCGCATACCTCAGCAGGAAAGTTCTTCACAAGCCAGCTGCACTTTGCCATCTGAAGCGGATCAGAGGCCATGTGCCCACCACACAACACAGTGTGCAGTTTCTGCTGACACCAGCCATAGACATCAGCACCTACCCATTGGGGAGGCTGCTGCTCATATGGCTCCTCCTCCATCTGCTGATGCGCCTCCTCCTCCATCCGCTTATGCACCTCCTCCACCTCTGCTGATGTTGCTCGTTTTCCTACTGCTCCTTCCCCCACTGCTCCTCCCCCCTCTGCTGCTTTCCCATCTGCTCCGACCCCTCTACTGCTTCCCCTCTGCGGCATCCCCCACAGCTCCTCTTTCAGCCGATGCAGTTCTTCTCGCATTTGCTGCTTCGCTCTCTACTGGTGCTCTCTCTCTTGGTCTACCTGGCCAGCGCTGTGCCGCCGTGGCTCCGCGAGTTAGCTCTGATTGGCCCGCTGCTGCTGATGCGATTGCATCGCTCCTCGTTCAGGCAGAGCTGAAGAGAATCAAAGATGCCCTACTGAATCTAGCTCCGATACCTCCAACATTTGTTCAGGTTGCCGCGGCGGTTCAGGCTGCCCCAGCGGTTCAGGTTGCCCCAGCGGTTCAGGTTGCCCCAACGCTCTCGCGCCCCAAACCCAGCCAACATGATGCACTCTTCCGCCCCTCTTTCAGCTCCCTCTTTCCACCCCTCTCTCCACCTCACAACCAGCATTGCTACCCATTCCCCTGTTTCGTATTCCACAACTGCCATCACCACCTGCTGCTGCTGCTCCTGCTGTTCCTCCTCCTCCTGCTCCTGCTGCTGCTACCTCTGCCACTACTGGTTCCCTGCTGCCTGGACCATCTGTCTCTGCTGCTGTTACTCCGGCAGAGATGCGGCTGAAGCCAGACGAGCTGTTTGAAGCATGGTGCAATGGGTCGTACTCCAGGGTGAGTTTTGGTAGATGGCTTGAAATGGCATGGAATGGAATGGCATGGCATGGCATGGCATGACATGGCATGAACCGGAATGGCATGGAACTGGATGGTTAGCTTGGTCTTTGGGGGCCTCCAATGTGGTGATCAGCTCATAAGTGCTGTTTGAAGCGTAGTGCAGTGCGCCACTTTCCAGGGTGGGTTATGATAAACGGCATGGCAAGTTGTGGTACGGTATGGTATGGTTTGGTATGGTATGGTATGGTGTGGTATGGTATGGTATGGTATGGTGTGGTGTGGTATGGTATGGTGTGGTGCGGTGTGGTGTGGCATGCATGGTATGGTATGGCATGGAATTGCATGGTCGATACTCCACTGCGCTTCTGACCAGATGAGCTGTTTGAAGCATGGTGCAGTGGGTCATTCTCCATGGTGAGTTGTTCGGCATGGCATGGCATGGCTTGGTATGGTATGGCATTGCATGGTATGGCATGACATGGCTGATGCTGCAATGAACCTGTGAGCTTGGATTGCTGTCTGAAGCCAGATGAGATGTTTGAGCGTGGTGCAATAAATCATTCTCCAGGGCGAGCTAGGGTGCATGGCATGGCATGGCATGGCATGGATTGGTGTTCAGTAGTATGTATATGATGATTCCGTGTGAAGTTCTACTTGTAACATATTGCTTCATGGTGGCATAGGTACATTTCGGCTGTGCGTGCCGTGTCCTTTATGACAGGTGCTCCACAACTTCTGACCAAAACACTGGAGCTCCGCCCTACTCCAGAGCTCCACAGGTCAACAGCTCCACAGCTTCTGAAGCTCCGCTCCAAAATTTTGAAACCACGGGTGAACCCCTGCCCCGCCATTTATGAACAGCTAGTTGTGTCAGATTCAGCTCGTCTCGGGCTCGTGTGGTTTTGCGCTGTGAAAGTGCTGCATCACATCATATGGTCCATGCAGCTCTTTTTGGGTGAGATTTTTCCTGGCATGAGCAAGCAGACTCTTGAATCGACTCATAAGTTGCTTCTCTTGGTTTTTCACCGTGAAAGTGCTGCTGTCTCACATCACAAGGTCCGTGCAGCTCTGTTCCGTTAAGTTTGTTCCTCGAGGGACGAGCAAGTTTTGGGGGAAATTGCATGTACTCCTTGCTGTGTAAGGCATGTTTTGCTGCTACTTTAATCACAATCAGCCTTTTTGTAACGTAGTCTGGCCTGCTTGCAAATGTTTCTCATGTTAAATTATATATTTTGTTATATAATTGGTAGGCTTGGTAGGTGTTACTGAAACCTTCTGTAGAGGTACAACCCCCTCCTTCTATGCCTCTCTCTTCTATTCTCAACCCTTTTCACTCAACTTTCCTAGTCTAAAACCTCTTGCCATTTCTATGGCTTCCCTCCTACCTAGATCCTAGCATACTTTAACATGGTAACAAAGCAGGTCACCCTTCCCGGGCCTGCTCCCTACGCTTCCACCGCGCACTCCTCCTCTTCCTCTTGCGCTGCCATGGCGGCCGCGTCGTGCTGCTGTGACAGCGTCGTCGTGCCGCTGACCGGGTCGTGCCGCGGCTGTCTCGACGCGCTGCCGTGGCGTCGCGCTGTCGTGGCGTCGACGTCCAGCCGTGGCGGCGTGACGGCGCCGTCGTGCTGCCGTTGCAGCATCGACGTCCAGCCGTGGCATCGACGCCGCACTGTGGCGGCGTTGTAATGCTGCGGTGGCGGCGCCGTCGGGCGGCAGCCGGCCGCGCAACGCCTGTGGCGCCGCTAGACCTGCCGCCCGCTCGTCTACCACGGGAGTGATTCTGGACCACGCCCCCCCCCCCCCCCCCCCCCCCCCCCCCCCCTCCCAACCCCCTCCTTCCCCTGCGTCCCCTCTTCCTTGCCACAGCCGTCGACTGCCTCGTGAGGGCCTTCCCATAGCCGTTATGAGATTGGCCAAGCCACCGAGAGGGCCGGGGCCGCTGCAACCGCCTCTGACGTTGAAGCCGCCGCCGCCGCCGCCGTTGCCGCTGGCCAGTTGCCGCTGCACACCACCGCCGTCGCTCTCGTCACTGATGTGCCTGCTGCCATTGCCATCTCCCGGGCCATGGATATTCCGGAGTCATCGCGGCTGCTGCTGGAAATGGGGGTGCTAGGTTAGGGGGTGTGGGAGTGTGTGGGTTCTTAAACTACCAAGCCTAGGGGGTGTGTTAAATGATATATTTTGTTATATAATTGGTAGGTTTGGTAGGTGTTACTGAAACCTACTGTAGAGGGTACAACCCCCTCCTTGTATGCCTCTCTCTTCTATTCTCAACCCCTTTTCTCTCCTCAACTTTCCTAGCCTAAAACTCTCGCCATTTCTATGGCTTCCTCGTACCTAGATCCTAGCTTACTTAACGTCTCAACCTTCTCTTGTCCCGCGATTCGCTTCCGTAAATGTTATGGATGGAATGGAAGGCTCCACAATTCCAGTGAACTGGAAAATGTTTCTCAATAAAGAGACATAAGGCGAATTCCTATGAAGTAGGATCAGAATCAAGAATGTTTATGATCCTGCCGTTTTACTACATGCGGATAAACAATTATGTAAGCGATCGCAAGTGAATTTCGCGTGGGGACATGGATACTTCACACTATCCTACGGGTACACCCCTCACTTTCAGCACAAAATTCACTTTGACTGCCCGGACTTGACCACGCAAGTTTACAGTACAGTTGCAAACTCCTCGCCACGCATAACCAAACTGTTGGGAAACGTGTGCTCCAATCACGAGCAAAGGAATTCACATACCGAAATTCGAAGCCAGCAGAAACACAAACGAAATTCGTTTTTGTCCCCGTCGCATGCCGTATGTGGGTTTTCTGCCTTTTAGAGTTCCACTTCGTTGCACGTCGCGTGTCGGCGCGCTTATGCACGCGGCGCTTGCTTAGCGCTCGTTGGGTGCTGTCCCGAATGTGATTGTAGGGCCAGCCAATCGGAGGTCCCTATGCGACGTTGTGGTGGCACCATCGTTTCTGATCTTAGCGTTAAAGACCGGGCAACGGGATCAAGAATGAATTTTGCGTTTCTGATTCTGATCCTACTTGTAGGAATTCGTCCTTATGCATAGGAACAGCTCATCCACCCACCACAGTGCACTGCACACCTGGAATTATTACCCCTAGGCATTACACCAAAGCTTGTCTTCAGGACCTCGGCGTTACCACTACATATCCTGGACACGAGCGGTACGTGGTCTGCACCGAGGCCGCCACTAGTGCCTGTCTCACCACGTTTCCCCAAGACCCGGTGTCTGGCTTGTTCACTCTAGACAACGCGTCCCCCCGGTGGGACATCCCCCCAGGTGGTCGTGCCCTCCCAAGTCGCTCCGGCTTGCTCGTGTCAGTCGCTCACCCACCCGTCGCTGCTGTGGCACCAACGCTTGGGTCACCACACACTCCCACGTCTACGTCACATGTCACAGGACGGTCTTGTCTTACATCTCCTTGCGTCGCTCCCTGCCCTCCCTCCCTCGCCCGCGCCGTCGTGCACGACCTGCGTCGAGGGCCGGCTGTGCAGTGTCCCTTACTCCTCCTTGCTTCCCCCTACCTCTGCGCCACTCCAGACCCTGCACCTGGACGTCTAGGCCCAGCCCCCGTCCCAGGGCCGCGTCGAGAGTGCTAATTTCTGGTGCTCGTCGACGAGTACATGCGCTACACCACGGTGTTTCCCCTGGAGCGGAAGGCAGACGTGCCTAAAGTTCTTATCTTGTGGGTCGTAGCTGCGTGAGTCCACCTCGGCCTCCATATGCTGCGTCTTCACTCCGACTGTGGCGACGAGTTTGCCTCCGAATGCTAGTTCTGTCGTGCGAAGGGCATCACCCAGTCGTACACCCTGTCGGACTCCCCGCAACAGAATGGGTTCGCTGAGCAACGCATCGGTTTGGTTATGGAGGTGGCTCATACCTCCATGATCCATGCCGGTGCACCCCATTTTATGTGGCCATTTGTTGTTCGCTACACCGCTCACTAGCTTAACTTATGGCCACACTCCCAGCAGCCGCAGGTTTCGCCCACCCTCCTCTGGACCAGGTCCCCTGTTGACGCGTCTGCGTTCCACGTCTGGGGCTGTCTCGCTCACATTCGTGCCTCTGGCATGGACAAGCTCATAGCCCGCACTGTCCCCTGTGTCTTTGTTGGCTTCCCCCTAGACGCATGTGACTGGCACTTTTACCACCCGCCGTCTCACACTTTCTCTCACTCTCGCAACATCATTTTTTACAAGTCCGTCTCCTTCTACACCCGCTTTCCTCACCGAGGTCTCCCGGTTGCCCCGCCCCTGTTCCTGGTCCCCACTCCCCCAGTAGCACCTGCTTCTCTCCCTCCCCGTCCTGCCCCCTCTGGTGTGTCTCACGTCACTCCCCTCCCGCCTGTCTACGGCCCTGTGTTTCCTCCTCCGGACTCGTCCCCAGCTCGTTTTCCCCCTCGTTCTCCTGCTGTGTCTCCTCCCTTCTCTCCTGACCCCACCCCCCCCCCCCCCCGGAGGTCTCACCGTGCTTATCGTGCTCGTCCAGTCTCTCCAGTTCAGCGCTCACACCCTATGTTGCTACGTTTTCATGCGTCTTGTGCTCCCCTAGTATCGTCGCCTCCTCAGTCGTCGCTTGTTGTCTCCCCTCCTCCTCTCTCTGATTTCCTCAGTGCCAATAGTCTGCTTGTCCCTCGCGTTCTCGCTTCTCTTGTTACCGACCCGTCCGTTCCTGTCTCCAGTCTTGACGCTCTTGTCGCTGCCATCCCTGACTTTGCCTCTACCTGCCACCTTAACTACACTACCGCTCTGGTTTCTGACCATGCCTGTCCTCCGTCCGTTGGGGGTGCCCCTGCCCTTGGAAGTGATGATCTAGAGGACAGGCAGTACAAGCTCGCTTTCCTGTGCGAGGTTGCTCCCCATCTCTGCTCCATGCTGCTAGTCCCTGAGGGTGACCCAGACGCCCTTGACATCCCGACCCCTCACACTTACGCTGAGGCGACCTCTTGACCCTGGGCCTCTCTGTGGATAGCCGCCATGGACGTGGAGATGGCATCTTGGAGATCCACCGGCACCTACGTCGACGCAGTTTCCCCACCTAGGGTGAACGTAGTCGATGGCCGGTGGCTCTTCAAGGTGCGCTACGTTGCTAGAGGCTTTAGTCAGCACAAGGGTGTTGACTTCTTTCAGACCTTCACCCCAACCCCGAAGATGACCACTCTCTTGGCGTTGCTACACATACTGTAGCACAGCGTGACTACGACCTGCACTCCCTCGACTTCTCCACAGCGTTTCTCCAGGGCAGTCTTCACGAGCAGGTCTACCAGCGTCGTCCGCCCGGCTTCACCGACACCTTCGCCCCTGATACCGAGTGGCTCCTCTGGCGCTCGGTTTACGGCCTACGGCAGGCGCTCCATCAGTGGCACGACACGCTGCGAGCTACTATACGTTAGCTGACATGCAGTTTTTCCCGTCGTCTGCAGACCCCTTGCTCTTCGTTCGTTTTGGCCACACCCCGTTCTACATCCTTGTCTACGTAGACGACCTGGTCTTTGCTACTGCAGACAGAGACGCACATGCCTCCATGAAGGCTGAGCTGTTGAGGAGACACACCTGCACTAACCTAGGAGAGCTGTGCCACTACCTTCGCCTGCAGATCTCCAGGGATAGAGCAGTGTGCACCATCCCTCTCACACAGTCACACTTGGTGCGCCAGGTCCTTCAGAGGTTCGGTTTTCAGTTCTCCTCCGAACAGCCCACACCTCTACCTGTAGATCACATGCTCTTGACTCTAGTCCCTGAGGTATCTGTAGAGCCTAGTGGTCCTTATGCAGAGTTGGTGGGTTGCCTCATGTACATGATGACTTGCACTCGTCCAGATCTTGCATGCCCTCTCAGCATCCTTGCTCGCTTGTGGCCACAACCAGACACCGACCACAACACTGGTCGGTCGTTAAGATGGTTTTGCGTTATCTAGCAAGTACATCGGACATGGGGCTAGTGCTAGGAGGACGCATGCCAGTGGTCCTTACAGCACTCACAGACGCTTTGTTCGTAGACGACGTTGAGACCCTCAGGTCCTCTCAGGGCTACTACTTTAGCCTTGGTGCATGCACCATCTCGTGGAGGTCCACTCACTCATCGTTTGTTGCCCAGTCTAGCTGTGAGGCTGAG